TGCAAAATACTCAGCTGTGAAGTTGCGTTTGTTGCCTGTATTAATCTATGAAAAAGCTGAATTATGTCCCTTGGGAGTATTAATTTCCCACAAAAGTCCTTTCAAACAGTAGAAAATGAAAGATTATATATGCCTGATATAATAAAAGATAGAAACTACAAAATGAAGCACTATTGAAATATTTGCTGCATGAATTGCCAAGATTGTGAACAATTCTTTACACAGGAGAGTATAAATTCTATCTAAATTAAGCCTCAAGTGGGCCTCTTTTTTTCTTAGATGGACAATTATAACACTGAAAATGCTTCTAGTATGACCAAATATTGTCTTACTCCATAAACAGTACAAACTTAACCAGACAATTTCCCATTTTAATAGATTATGTCTAGAGAAATACCCAATGTATACATTTAGGGAATTACACAGCAAAAAAAGGCAAATATTTCAGTTAAAAATATTTGTCGTGACTTGAATTCTGGTGTTTCCAATTGAATTAATCATTGCGAAAGGTGAAAACAAATACAAAAGAACTATAGTTTGGTGCATTTTATACAATATAGTTAATATTGAAATCCTAGAATAAAGTTTTATATCAGTACCCATCAATTTGACTTATTATGATGACTCAGCACTTTTCTCAACACAGTATTGTTCTCAGGGAAAAATTTCTATTCTTTGTGATAAAAATCAAATGTTCTAATCAAAAGCTTCAAAATAGTAATATAACTGAAGTCTGATTGATTTTGAATTCCCTTGCTATCTTCAGTATAGGGAAAACGGTCCTATTTATTCTGCCATAGCCGACAATACTAACATTTTCAAAATTTACCACTTTTTCTAATAAAAACCTGGATAAAACAGTTATGTGTGGTGTTAGTACTTTTTTATTCTGTTTTAAAAATTGAAGCCAAATAGTATCATGACCAACTTCCAACGGAGCTTGTTTATGTTATCCATGCCCACCGTCCTTTTACGCCAAATTTATGAAATTTTGGAAGTCTTTTCGATTATAATTCTCTAGAAAATATTTCAATAGGTTTCACAATTTATATTGTAAATATACATACTGCAGTTATTCATAGATAAATAAAAAAATATATTGTACCCTTACATCCAATCACAGCGCTCCCAAGTTGACTTCCTTCACCTGCCTTGGGTACACAAAAGGCCAACCTAATGCTGGGAAAATGTAATAGTACCGTTTTCCCTATACTGTGACATAAAGATATAAAGAATTCTTATGACACCATTAATGCAATACTGGGTTATTGTGAAAACCTTGGCTATAATAAATACTTGTATGTCTCCATTACTTAAAGAAACATGGATCATTTTATGTCCCCACCCCTACATGCTGGTTTACCTCTTTCTCTGCTTCTTTCAGATAAGGCTTAATAAACAACCTGTATCCAATCATATCTTATCTTATTTAAAAAGAATAATAAACAGTTCCATTTAAGCAGATAAAAATGACCGTTCCATTTAATTTGTATTCATTTTATCCAAAATTTACAACATAAGCACAAATTCAAGATTGTTCATACTAATCGCCATTCCATGCTTTAGTATATGCCATATGGTGATTCAAAATTTCAGAGCTTGTTATAAAATCCATTATTCTGTCTTGAGATGATAAAACAAAGATATTAGACACTTCAAACATTAAATATGCAAAATACTCAGCTGTGAAGTTGCGTTTGTTGCCTGTATTAATCTATGAAAAAGCTGAATTATGTCCCTTGGGAGTATTAATTTCCTACAAAAGTCCTTTCAAACAGTAGAAAATGAAAGATTATATATGTCTGATATAATAAAAGATAGAAACTACAAAATGAAGCACTATTGAAATATTTGCTGCATGAATTGCCAAGATTGTGAACAATTCTTTACACAGGAGAGTATAAATTCTATCTAAATTTAGCCTCAAGTGGGCCTCTTTTTTTCTTAGATGGACAATTATAACACTGAAAATGCTTCTAGTATGACCAAATATTGTCTTACTCCATAAACAGTACAAACTTAACCAGACAATTTCCCATTTTAATAGATTATGTCTAGAGAAATACCCAATGTATACATTAAGGGAATTACACAGCAAAAAAAGGCAAATATTTCAGTTAAAAATATTTGTCACGACTTGAATTCTGGTGTTTCCAATTGAATTAATCATTGCGAAAGGTGAAAACAAATACAAAAGAACTATAGTTTGGTGCATTTTATACAATATAGTTAATATTGAAATCCTAGAATAAAGTTTTATATCAGTACCCATCAATTTGACTTATTATGATGACTCAGCACTTTTCTCAACACAGTATTGTTCTCAGGGAAAAATTTCTATTCTTTGTGATAAAAATCAAATGTTCTAATCAAAAGCTTCAAAATAGTATAATATAACTGAAGTCTGATTGATTTTGAATTCCCTTGCTATCTTCAGTATAGGGAAAACGGTACTATTTATTCTGCCATAGCCGACAATACTAACATTTTCAAAATTTACCACTTTTTCTAATAAAAACCTGGATAAAACAGTTATGTGTGGTGTTAGTACTTTTTTATTCTGTTTTAAAAATTGAAGCCAAATAGTATCATGACAAACTTCCAACGGAGCTTGTTTATGTTATCCATGCCCACCGTCCTTTTACGCCAAATTTATGAAATTTTGGATGTCTTTTCGAATAATTCTCTAGAAAATATTTCAATAGGTTTCACAATTTATATTGTAAATATACATACTGCAGTTATTCATAGATAAATAAAAAAATATATTGTACCCTTACATCCAATCACAGCGCTCCCAAGTTGACTTCCTTCACCTGCCTTGGGTACACAAAAGGCCAACCTAATGCTGGGAAAATGTAATAGTACCGTTTTCCCTATACTGTGACATAAAGATATAAAGAATTATTATGACACCATTAATGCAATACTGGGTTATTGTGAAAACCTTGGCTATAATAAATACTTGTATGTCTCCATTACTTAAAGAAACATGGATCATTTTATGTCCCCACCCCTACATGCTGGTTTACCTCTTTCTCTGCTTCTTTCAGATAAGGCTTAATAAACAACCTGTATCCAATCATATCTTATCTTATTTAAAAAGAATAATAAACAGTTCCATTTAAACAGATAAAAATGACGGTTCCATTTAATTTGTATTCATTTTATCCAAAATTTACAACATAAGCACAAATTCAAGATTGTTCATACTAATCGCCATTCCATGCTTTAGTATATGCCATATGGTGGTTCAAAATTTCAGAGCTTGTTATAAAATCCATTATTCTGTCTTGAGATGATAAAACAAAGATATTAGACACTTCAAACATTAAATATGCAAAATACTCAGCTGTGAAGTTGCGTTTGTTGCCTGTATTAATCTATGAAAAAGCTGAATTATGTCCCTTGGGAGTATTAATTTCCTACAAAAGTCCTTTCAAACAGTAGAAAATGAAAGATTATATATGCCTGATATAATAAAAGATAGAAACTACAAAATGAAGCACTATTGAAATATTTGCTGCATGAATTGCCAAGATTGTGAACAATTCTTTACACAGGAGAGTATAAATTCTATCTAAATTTAGCCTCAAGTGGGCCTCTTTTTTTCTTAGATGGACAATTATAACACTGAAAATGCTTCTAGTATGACCAAATATTGTCTTACTCCATAAACAGTACAAACTTAACCAGACAATTTCCCATTTTAATAGATTATGTCTAGAGAAATACCCAATGTATACATTAAGGGAATTACACAGCAAAAAAAGGCAAATATTTCAGTTAAAAATATTTGTCACGACTTGAATTCTGGTGTTTCCAATTGAATTAATCATTGCGAAAGGTGAAAACAAATACAAAAGAACTATAGTTTGGTGCATTTTATACAATATAGTTAATATTGAAATCCTAGAATAAAGTTTTATATCAGTACCCATCAATTTGACTTATTATGATGACTCAGCACTTTTCTCAACACAGTATTGTTCTCAGGGAAAAATTTCTATTCTTTGTGATAAAAATCAAATGTTCTAATCAAAAGCTTCAAAATAGTATAATATAACTGAAGTCTGATTGATTTTGAATTCCTTTGCTATCTTCAGTATACTGTGACATAAAGATATAAAGAATTCTTATGACACCATTAATGCAATACTGGGTTATTGTGAAAACCTTGGCTATAATAAATACTTGTATGTCCCCATTACTTAAAGAAACATGGATCATTTTATGTCCCCACCCCTACATGCTGGTTTACCTCTTTCTCTGCTTCTTTCAGATAAGGCTTAATAAACAACCTGTATCCAATCATATCTTATCTTATTTAAAAAGAATAATAAACAGTTGTCGCGACTTGAATTCTGGTGTTTCCAATTGAATTAATCATTGCGAAAGGTGAAAACAAATACAAAAGAACTATAGTTTGGTGCATTTTATACAATATAGTTAATATTGAAATCCTAGAATAAAGTTTTATATCAGTACCCATCAATTTGACTTATTATGATGACTCAGCACTTTTCTCAACACAGTATTGTTCTCAGAGAAAAATTTCTATTCTTTGTGATAAAAATCAAATGTTCTAATCAAAAGCTTCAAAATAGTATAATATAACTGAAGTCTGATTGAATTTGAATTTCCTTGCTATCTTCAGTATAGGGAAAATGGTACTATTTATTCTGCCATAGCCGACAATACTAACATTTTCAAAATTTACCACTTTTTATAATAAAAACCTGGATAAAACAGTTATGTGTGGTGTTAGTACTTTTTTATTCTGTTTTAAAAATTGAAGCCAAATAGTATCATGACCAACTTCCAACGGAGCTTGTTTATGTTATCCATGCCCACCGTCCTTTTACGCCAAATTTATGAAATTTTGGAAGTCTTTTCGAATAATTCTATAGAAAATATTTCAATAGGTTTCACAATTTATATTGTAAATATACATACTGCAGTTATTCATAGATAAATAAAAAAATATATTGTACCCTTACATCCAATCACAGCGCTCCCAAGTTGACTTCCTTCACCTGCCTTGGGTACACAAAAGGCCAACCTAATGCTGGGAAAATGTAATAGTACCGTTTTCCCTATACTGTGACATAAAGATATAAAGAATTCTTATGACACCATTAATGCAATACTGGGTTATTGTGAAAACCTTGGCTATATTGACTTATTATGATGACTCAGCACTTTTCTCAACACAGTATTGTTCTCAGGGAAAAATTTCTATTCTTTGTGATAAAAATCAAATGTTCTAATCAAAAGCTTCAAAATAGTATAATATAATTGAAGTCTGATTGATTTTGAATTCCCTTGCTATCTTCAGTATACTGTGACATAAAGATATAAAGAATTCTTATGATACCTTTAATGCAATACTGGGTTATTGTGAAAACCTTGGCTATAATAAATACTTGTATGTCCCCATTACTTAAAGAAACATGGATCATTTTATGTCCCCACCCCTACATGCTGGTTTACCTCTTTCTCTGCTTCTTTCAGATAAGGCTTAATAAACAATCTGTATCCAATCATATCTTATCTTATTTAAAAAGAATAATAAACAGTTCCATTTAAACAGATAAAAATGACCGTTCCATTTAATTTGTATTCATTTTATCCAAAATTTACAACATAAGCACAAATTCAAGATTGTTCATACTAATCGCCATTCCATGCTTTAGTATATGCCATATGGTGGTTCAAAATTTCAGAGCTTGTTATAAAATCCATTATTCTGTCTTGAGATGATAAAACAAAGATATTAGACACTTAAAACATTAAATATGCAAAATACTCAGCTGTGAAGTTGCGTTTGTTGCCTGTATTAATCTATGAAAAAGCTGAATTATGTCCCTTGGGAGTATTAATTTCCCACAATAGTCCTTTCAAACAGTAGAAAATGACAGATTATATATGCCTGATATAATAAAAGATAGAAACTACAAAATGAAGCACTATTGAAATATTTGCTGCATGAATTGCCAAGATTGTGAACAATTCTTTACACAGGAGAGTATAAATTCTATCTAAATTTAGCCTCAAGTGGGCCTCTTTTTTTCTTAGATGGACAATTATAACACTGAAAATGCTTCTAGTATGACCAAATATTGTCTTACTCCATAAACAGTACAAACTTAACCAGACAATTTCCCATTTTAATAGATTATGTCTAGAGAAATACCCAATGTATACATTAAGGTAATTACACAGCAAAAAAAGGCAAATATTTCAGTTAAAAATATTTGTCACGACTTGAATTCTGGTGTTTCCAATTGAATTAATCATTGCGAAAGGTGAAAACAAATACAAAAGAACTATAGTTTGGTGCATTTTATACAATATAGTTAATATTGAAATCCTAGAATAAAGTTTTATATCAGTACCCATCAATTTGACTTATTATGATGACTCAGCACTTTTCTCAACACAGTATTGTTCTCAGGGAAAAATTTCTATTCTTTGTGATAAAAATCAAATGTTCTAATCAAAAGCTTCAAAATAGTATAATATAACTGAAGTCTGATTGATTTTGAATTCCCTTGCTATCTTCAGTATAGGGAAAACGGTACTATTTATTCTGCCATAGCCGACAATACTAACATTTTCAAAATTTTCCCTTTTTCTAATAAAAACCTGGATAAAACAGTTATGTGTGGTGTTAGTACTTTTTTATTCTGTTTTAAAAATTGAAGCCAAATAGTATCATGACAAACTTCCAACGGAGCTTGTTTATGTTATCCATGCCCACCGTCCTTTTACGCCAAATTTATGAAATTTTGGAAGTCTTTTCGAATAATTCTCTAGAAAATATTTCAATAGGTTTTACAATTTATATTGTAAATATACATACTGCAGTTATTCATAGATAAATAAAAAAATATATTGTACCCTTACATCCAAGCACAGCGCTCCCAAGTTGACTTCCTTCACCTGCCTTGGGTACACAAAAGGCCAACCTAATGCTGGGAAAATGTAATAGTACCGTTTTCCCTATACTGTGACATAAAGATATAAAGAATTCTTATGACACCATTAATGCAATACTGGGTTATTGTGAAAACCTTGGCTATAATAAATACTTGTATGTCCCCATTACTTAAAGAAACATGGATCATTTTATGTCCCCACCCCTACATGCTGGTTTACCTCTTTCTCTGCTTCTTTCAGATAAGGCTTAATAAACAACCTGTATCCAACCTTATCTTATCTTATTTAAAAAGAATAATAAACAGTTCCATTTAAACAGATAAAAATGACGGTTTCATTTAATTTGTATTCATTTTATCCAAAATTTACAACATAAGCACAAATTCAAGATTGTTCATACTAATCGCCATTCCATGCTTTAGTATATGCCATATGGTGGTTCAAAATTTCAGAGCTTGTTATAAAATCCATTATTCTGTCTTGAGATGATAAAACAAAGATATTAGACACTTAAAACATTAAATATGCAAAATACTCAGCTGTGAAGTTGCGTTTGTTGCCTGTATTAATCTATGAAAAAGCTGAATTATGTCCCTTGGGAGTATTAATTTCCCACAAAAGTCCTTTCAAACAGTAGAAAATGAAAGATTATATATGCCTGATATAATAAAAGATAGAAACTACAAAATGAAGCACTATTGAAATATTTGCTGCATGAATTGCCAAGATTGTGAACAATTCTTTACACAGGAGAGTATAAATTCTATCTAAATTTAGCCTCAAGTGGGCCTCTTTTTTTCTTAGATGGACAATTATAACACTGAAAATGCTTCTAGTATGACCAAATATTGTCTTACTCCATAAACAGTACAAACTTAACCAGACAATTTCCCATTTTAATAGATTATGCCTAGAGAAATACCCAAGTGATACATTTAGGGAATTACACAGCAAAAAAAGGAAATATTTCAGTTAAAAATATTTGTCGCGACTTGAATTCTGGTGTTTGCAATTGAATTAATCATTGGGAAAGGTGAAAACAAATACAAAAGAACTATAGTTTGGTGCATTTTATACAATATAGTTAATATTGAAATCCTAGAATAAAGTTTTATATCAGTACCCATCAATTTGACTTATTATGATGACTCAGCACTTTTCTCAACACAGTATTGTTCTCAGGGAAAAATTTCTATTCTTTGTGATAAAAATCAAATGTTCTAATCAAAAGCTTCAAAATAGTATAATATAACTGAAGTCTGATTGATTTTGAATTCCTTTGCTATCTTCAGTATACTGTGACATAAAGATATAAAGAATTCTTATGACACCATTAATGCAATACTGGGTTATTGTGAAAACCTTGGCTATAATAAATACTTGTATGTCCCCATTACTTAAAGAAACATGGATCATTTTATGTCCCCACCCCTACATGCTGGTTTACCTCTTTCTCTGCTTCTTTCAGATAAGGCTTAATAAACAACCTGTATCCAATCATATCTTATCTTATTTAAAAAGAATAATAAACAGTTGTCGCGACTTGAATTCTGGTGTTTCCAATTGAATTAATCATTGCGAAAGGTGAAAACAAATACAAAAGAACTATAGTTTGGTGCATTTTATACAATATAGTTAATATTGAAATCCTAGAATAAAGTTTTATATCAGTACCCATCAATTTGACTTATTATGATGACTCAGCACTTTTCTCAACACAGTATTGTTCTCAGAGAAAAATTTCTATTCTTTGTGATAAAAATCAAATGTTCTAATCAAAAGCTTCAAAATAGTATAATATAACTGAAGTCTGATTGAATTTGAATTTCCTTGCTATCTTCAGTATAGGGAAAACGGTACTATTTATTCTGCCATAGCCGACAATACTAACATTTTCAAAATTTACCACTTTTTATAATAAAAACCTGGATAAAACAGTTATGTGTGGTGTTAGTACTTTTTTATTCTGTTTTAAAAATTGAAGCCAAATAGTATCATGACCAACTTCCAACGGAGCTTGTTTATGTTATCCATGCCCACCGTCCTTTTACGCCAAATTTATGAAATTTTGGAAGTCTTTTCGAATAATTCTATAGAAAATATTTCAATAGGTTTCACAATTTATATTGTAAATATACATACTGCAGTTATTCATAGATAAATAAAAAAATATATTGTACCCTTACATCCAATCACAGCGCTCCCAAGTTGACTTCCTTCACCTGCCTTGGGTACACAAAAGGCCAACCTAATGCTGGGAAAATGTAATAGTACCGTTTTCCCTATACTGTGACATAAAGATATAAAGAATTCTTATGACACCATTAATGCAATACTGGGTTATTGTGAAAACCTTGGCTATATTGACTTATTATGATGACTCAGCACTTTTCTCAACACAGTATTGTTCTCAGGGAAAAATTTCTATTCTTTGTGATAAAAATCAAATGTTCTAATCAAAAGCTTCAAAATAGTATAATATAATTGAAGTCTGATTGATTTTGAATTCCCTTGCTATCTTCAGTATACTGTGACATAAAGATATAAAGAATTCTTATGACACCTTTAATGCAATACTGGGTTATTGTGAAAACCTTGGCTATAATAAATACTTGTATGTCCCCATTACTTAAAGAAACATGGATCATTTTATGTCCCCACCCCTACATGCTGGTTTACCTCTTTCTCTGCTTCTTTCAGATAAGGCTTAATAAACAATCTGTATCCAATCATATCTTATCTTATTTAAAAAGAATAATAAACAGTTCCATTTAAACAGATAAAAATGACCGTTCCATTTAATTTGTATTCATTTTATCCAAAATTTACAACATAAGCACAAATTCAAGATTGTTCATACTAATCGCCATTCCATGCTTTAGTATATGCCATATGGTGGTTCAAAATTTCAGAGCTTGTTATAAAATCCATTATTCTGTCTTGAGATGATAAAACAAAGATATTAGACACTTAAAACATTAAATATGCAAAATACTCAGCTGTGAAGTTGCGTTTGTTGCCTGTATTAATCTATGAAAAAGCTGAATTATGTCCCTTGGGAGTATTAATTTCCCACAAAAGTCCTTTCAAACAGTAGAAAATGACAGATTATATATGCCTGATATAATAAAAGATAGAAACTACAAAATGAAGCACTATTGAAATATTTGCTGCATGAATTGCCAAGATTGTGAACAATTCTTTACACAGGAGAGTATAAATTCTATCTAAATTTAGCCTCAAGTGGGCCTCTTTTTTTCTTAGATGGACAATTATAACACTGAAAATGCTTCTAGTATGACCAAATATTGTCTTACTCCATAAACAGTACAAACTTAACCAGACAATTTCCCATTTTAATAGATTATGTCTAGAGAAATACCCAAGTGATACATTTAGGGAATTACACAGCAAAAAAAGGCAAATATTTCAGTTAAAAATATTTGTCGCGACTTGAATTCTGGTGTTTCCAATTGAATTAATCATTGCGAAAGGTGAAAACAAATACAAAAGAACTATAGTTTGGTGCATTTTATACAATATAGTTAATATTGAAATCCTAGAATAAAGTTTTATATCAGTACCCATCAATTTGACTTATTATGATGACTCAGCACTTTTCTCAACACAGTATTGTTCTCAGGGAAAAATTTCTATTCTTTGTGATAAAAATCAAATGTTCTAATCAAAAGCTTCAAAATAGTATAATATAACTGAAGTCTGATTGATTTTGAATTCCTTTGCTATCTTCAGTATACTGTGACATAAAGATATAAAGAATTCTTATGACACCATTAATGCAATACTGGGTTATTGTGAAAACCTTGGCTATAATAAATACTTGTATGTCCCCATTACTTAAAGAAACATGGATCATTTTATGTCCCCACCCCTACATGCTGGTTTACCTCTTTCTCTGCTTCTTTCAGATAAGGCTTAATAAACAACCTGTATCCAATCATATCTTATCTTATTTAAAAAGAATAATAAACAGTTCCATTTAAACAGATAAAAATGACGGTTCCATTTAATTTGTATTCATTTTATCCAAAATTTACAACATAAGCACAAATTCAAGATTGTTCATACTAATCGCCATTCCATGCTTTAGTATATGCCATATGGTGGTTCAAAATTTCAGAGCTTGTTATAAAATCCATTATTCTGTCTTGAGATGATCAAACAAAGATATTAGACACTTAAAACATTAAATATGCAAAATACTCAGCTGTGAAGTTGCGTTTGTTGCCTGTATTAATCTATGAAAAAGCTGAATTATGTCCCTTGAGAGTATTAATTTCCCACAAAAGTCCTTTCAAACAGTAGAAAATGAAAGATTATATATGCCTGATATAATAAAAGATAGAAACTACAAAATGAAGCACTATTGAAATATTTGCTGCATGAATTGCCAAGATTGTGAACAATTCTTTACACAGGAGAGTATAAATTCTATCTAAATTTAGCCTCAAGTGGGCCTCTTTTTTTCTTAGATGGACAATTATAACACTGAAAATGCTTCTAGTATGACCAAATATTGTCTTACTCCATAAACAGTACAAACTTAACCAGACAATTTCCCATTTTAATAGATTATGTCTAGAGAAATACCCAAGTGATACATTTAGGGAATTACACAGCAAAAAAAGGCAAATATTTCAGTTAGAAATATTTGTCGCGACTTGAATTCTGGTGTTTCCAATTGAATTAATCATTGCGAAAGGTGAAAACAAATACAAAAGAACTATAGTTTGGTGCATTTTATACAATATAGTTAATATTGAAATCCTAGAATAAAGTTTTATATCAGTACCCATCAATTTGACTTATTATGATGACTCAGCACTTTTCTCAACACAGTATTGTTCTCAGGGAAAAATTTCTATTCTTTGTGATAAAAATCAAATGTTCTAATCAAAAGCTTCAAAATAGTATAATATAACTGAAGTCTGATTGATTTTGAATTCCCTTGCTATCTTCAGTATACTGTGACATAAAGATATAAAGAATTCTTATGACACCATTAATGCAATACTGGGTTATTGTGAAAACCTTGTCTATAATAAATACTTGTATGTCCCCATTACTTAAAGAAACATGGATCATTTTATGTCCCCACCCCTACATGCTGGTTTACCTCTTTCTCTGCTTCTTTCAGATAAGGCTTAATAAACAACCTGTATCCAATCATATCTTATCTTATTTAAAAAGAATAATAAACAGTTCCATTTAAACAGATAAAAATGACGGTTCCATTTAATTTGTATTCATTTTATCCAAAATTTACAACATAAGCACAAATTCAAGATTGTTCATACTAATCGCCATTCCATGCTTAAGTATATGCCATATGGTGGTTCAAAATTTCAGAGCTTGTTATAAAATCCATTATTCTGTCTTGAGATGATAGAACAAAGATATTAGACACTTAAAACATTAAATATGCAAAATACTCAGCTGTGAAGTTGCGTTTGCTGCCTGTATTAATCTATGAAAAAACTGAATTATGTCCCTTGGGATTATTAATTTCCCACAAAAGTCCTTTCAAACAGTAGAAAATGAAAGATTATATATGCCTGATATAATAAAAGATAGAAACTACAAAATGAAGCACTATTGAAATATTTGCTGCATGAATTGCCAAGATTGTGAACAATTCTTTACACAGGAGAGTATAAATTCTATCTAAATTTAGCCTCAAGTGGGCCTCTTTTTTTCTTAGATGGACAATTATAACACTGAAAATGCTTCTAGTATGACCAAATATTGTCTTACTCCATAAACAGTACAAACTTAACCAGACAATTTCCCATTTTAATAGATTATGTCTAGAGAAATACCCAAGTGATATATTTAGGGAATTACACAACAAAAAAAGGCAAATATTTCAGTTAAAAATATTTGTCGCGACTTGAATTCTGGTGTTTCCAATTGAATTAATTATTGCGAAAGGTGAAAACAAATACAAAAGAACTATAGTTTGGTGCATTTTATACAATATAGTTAATATTGAAATCCTAGAATAAAGTTTTATATCAGTACCCATCAATTTGACTTATTATGATGACTCAGCACTTTTCTCAACACAGTATTGTTCTCAGGGAAAAATTTCTATTCTTTGTGATAAAAATCAAATGTTCTAATCAAAAGCTTCAAAATAGTATAATATAACTGAAGTCTGATTGATTTTGAATTCCCTTGCTATCTTCAGTATACTGTGACATAAAGACATAAAGATATAAAGAATTCTTATGACACCATTAATGCAATACTGGGTTATTGTGAAAACCTTGGCTATAATAAATACTTGTATGTCCCCATTACTTAAAGAAACATGGATCATTTTATGTCCCCACCCCTACATGCTGGTTTACCTCTTTCTCTGCTTCTTTCAGATAAGGCTTAATAAACAACCTGTATCCAATCATATCTTATCTTATTTAAAAAGAATAATAAACAGTTCCATTTAAACAGATAAAAATGACGGTTCCATTTAATTTGTATTCATTTTATCCAAAATTTACAACATAAGCACAAATTCAAGATTGTTCATACTAATCGCCATTCCATGCTTAAGTATATGCCATATGGTGGTTCAAAATTTCAGAGCTTGTTATAAAATCCATTATTCTGTCTTGAGATGATCAAACAAAGATATTAGACACTTAAAACATTAAATATGCAAAATACTCAGCTGTGAAGTTGCGTTTGTTGCCTGTATTAATCTATGAAAAAGCTGAATTATGTCCCTTGAGAGTATTAATTTCCCACAAAAGTCCTTTCAAACAGTAGAAAATGAAAGATTATATATGCCTGATATAATAAAAGATAGAAACTACAAAATGAAGCACTATTGAAATATTTGCTGCATGAATTGCCAAGATTGTGAACAATTCTTTACACAGGAGAGTATAAATTCTATCTAAATTTAGCCTCAAGTGGGCCTCTTTTTTTCTTAGATGGACAATTATAACACTGAAAATGCTTCTAGTATGACCAAATATTGTCTTACTCCATAAACAGTACAAACTTAACCAGACAATTTCCCATTTTAATAGATTATGTCTAGAGAAATACCCAAGTGATACATTTAGGGAATTACACAGCAAAAAAAGGCAAATATTTCAGTTAGAAATATTTGTCGCGACTTGAATTCTGGTGTTTCCAATTGAATTAATCATTGCGAAAGGTGAAAACAAATACAAAAGAACTATAGTTTGGTGCATTTTATACAATATAGTTAATATTGAAATCCTAGAATAAAGTTTTATATCAGTACCCATCAATTTGACTTATTATGATGACTCAGCACTTTTCTCAACACAGTATTGTTCTCAGGGAAAAATTTCTATTCTTTGTGATAAAAATCAAATGTTCTAATCAAAAGCTTCAAAATAGTATAATATAACTGAAGTCTGATTGATTTTGAATTCCCTTGCTATCTTCAGTATACTGTGACATAAAGACATAAAGAATTCTTATGACACCATTAATGCAATACTGGGTTATTGTGAAAACCTTGTCTATAATAAATACTTGTATGTCCCCATTACTTAAAGAAACATGGATCATTTTATGTCCCCACCCCTACATGCTGGTTTACCTCTTTCTCTGCTTCTTTCAGATAAGGCTTAATAAACAACCTGTATCCAATCATATCTTATCTTATTTAAAAAGAATAATAAACAGTTCCATTTAAACAGATAAAAATGACGGTTCCATTTAATTTGTATTCATTTTATCCAAAATTTACAACATAAGCACAAATTCAAGATTGTTCATACTAATCGCCATTCCATGCTTAAGTATATGCCATATGGTGGTTCAAAATTTCAGAGCTTGTTATAAAATCCATTATTCTGTCTTGAGATGATAGAACAAAGATATTAGACACTTAAAACATTAAATATGCAAAATACTCAGCTGTGAAGTTGCGTTTGCTGCCTGTATTAATCTATGAAAAAACTGAATTATGTCCCTTGGGAGTATTAATTTCCCACAAAAGTCCTTTCAAACAGTAGAAAATGAAAGATTATATATGCCTGATATAATAAAAGATAGAAACTACAAAATGAAGCACTATTGAAATATTTGCTGCATGAATTGCCAAGATTGTGAACAATTCTTTACACAGGAGAGTATAAATTCTATCTAAATTTAGCCTCAAGTGGGCCTCTTTTTTTCTTAGATGGACAATTATAACACTGAAAATGCTTCTAGTATGACCAAATATTGTCTTACTCCATAAACAGTACAAACTTAACCAGACAATTTCCCATTTTAATAGATTATGTCTAGAGAAATACCCAAGTGATATATTTAGGGAATTACACAACAAAAAAAGGCAAATATTTCAGTTAAAAATATTTGTCGCGACTTGAATTCTGGTGTTTCCAATTGAATTAATTATTGCGAAAGGTGAAAACAAATACAAAAGAACTATAGTTTGGTGCATTTTATACAATATAGTTAATATTGAAATCCTAGAATAAAGTTTTATATCAGTACCCATCAATTTGACTTATTATGATGACTCAGCACTTTTCTCAACACAGTATTGTTCTCAGGGAAAAATTTCTATTCTTTGTGATAAAAATCAAATGTTCTAATCAAAAGCTTCAAAATAGTATAATATAACTGAAGTCTGATTGATTTTGAATTCCCTTGCTATCTTCAGTATACTGTGACATAAAGACATAAAGATATAAAGAATTCTTATGACACCATTAATGCAATACTGGGTTATTGTGAAAACCTTGGCTATAATAAATACTTGTATGTCCCCATTACTTAAAGAAACATGGATCATTTTATGTCCCCACCCCTACATGCTGGTTTACCACTTTCTCTGCTTCTTTCAGATAAGGCTTAATAAACAACCTGTATCCAATCATATCTTATCTTATTTAAAAAGAATAATAAACAGTTCCATTTAAACAGATAAAAATGACGGTTCCATTTAATTTGTATTCATTTTATCCAAAATTTACAACATAAGCACAAATTCAAGATTGTTCATACTAATCGCCATTCCATGCTTAAGTATATGCCATATGGTGGTTCAAAATTTCAGAGCTTGTTATAAAATCCATTATTCTGTCTTGAGATGATAGAACAAAGATATTAGACACTTAAAACATTAAATATGCAAAATACTCAGCTGTGAAGTTGCGTTTGCTGCCTGTATTAATCTATGAAAAAACTGAATTATGTCCCTTGGGAGTATTAATTTCCCACAAAAGTCCTTTCAAACAGTAGAAAATGAAAGATTATATATGCCTGATATAATAAAAGATAGAAACTACAAAATGAAGCACTATTGAAATATTTGCTGCATGAATTGCCAAGATTGTGAACAATTCTTTACACAGGAGAGTATAAATTCTATCTAAATTTAGCCTCAAGTGGGCCTCTTTTTTTCTTAGATGGACAATTATAACACTGAAAATGCTTCTAGTATGACCAAATATTGTCTTACTCCATAAACAGTACAAACTTAACCAGACAATTTCCCATTTTAATAGATTATGTCTAGAGAAATACCCAAGTGATATATTTAGGGAATTACACAACAAAAAAAGGCAAATATTTCAGTTAAAAATATTTGTCGCGACTTGAATTCTGGTGTTTCCAATTGAATTAATTATTGCGAAAGGTGAAAACAAATACAAAAGAACTATAGTTTGGTGCATTTTATACAATATAGTTAATATTGAAATCCTAGAATAAAGTTTTATATCAGTACCCATCAATTTGACTTATTATGATGACTCAGCACTTTTCTCAACACAGTATTGTTCTCAGGGAAAAATTTCTATTCTTTGTGATAAAAATCAAATGTTCTAATCAAAAGCTTCAAAATAGTATAATATAACTGAAGTCTGATTGATTTTGAATTCCCTTGCTATCTTCAGTATACTGTGACATAAAGACATAAAGATATAAAGAATTCTTATGACACCATTAATGCAATACTGGGTTATTGTGAAAACCTTGGCTATAATAAATACTTGTATGTCCCCATTACTTAAAGAAACATGGATCATTTTATGTCCCCACCCCTACATGCTGGTTTACCTCTTTCTCTGCTTCTTTCAGATAAGGCTTAATAAACAACCTGTATCCAATCATATCTTATCTTTTTAAAAAGAATAATAAACATTTCCATTTAAACAGATAAAAATGACCGTTCCATTTAATTTGTATTCATTTTATCCAAAATTTACAACATAAGCACAAATTCAAGATTGTTCATACTAATTGCCATTCCATGCTTTAGTATATGCCATATGGTGGTTCAAAATTTCAGAGCTTGTTATAAAATCCATTATTCTGTCTTGAGATGATAAAACAAAGATATTAGACACTTAAAACATTAAATATGCAAAATACTCAGCTGTGAAGTTGCGTTTGTTGCCTGTATTAATCTATGAAAAAGCTGAATTATGTCCCTTGGGAGTATTAATTTCCCACAAAAGTCCTTTCAAACAGTAGAAAATGAAAGATTATATATGCCTGATATAATAAAAGATAGAAACTACAAAATGAAGCACTATTGAAATATTTGCTGCATGAATTGCCAAGATTGTGAACAATTCTTTACACAGGAGAGTATAAATTCTATCTAAATTTAGCCTCAAGTGGGCCTCTTTTTTTCTTAGATGGACAATTATAACACTGAAAATGCTTCTAGTATGACCAAATATTGTCTTACTCCATAAACAGTACAAACTTAACCAGACAATTTCCCATTTTAATAGATTATGTCTAGAGAAATACCCAAGTGATACATTTAGGGAATTACACAGCAAAAAAAGGCAAATATTTCAGTTAAAAATATTTGTCGCGACTTGAATTCTGGTGTTTCCAATTGAATTAATCATTGCGAAAGGTGAAAACAAATACAAAAGAACTATAGTTTGGTGCATTTTATACAATATAGTTAATATTGAAATCCTAGAATAAAGTTTTATATCAGTACCCATCAATTTGACTTATTATGATGACTCAGCACTTTTCTCAACACAGTATTGTTCTCAGGGAAAAATTTCTATTCTTTGTGATAAAAATCAAATGTTCTAATCAAAAGCTTCAAAATAGTATAATATAACTGAAGTCTGATTGATTTTGAATTCCATTGCTATCTTCAGTATATATACTGTGACATAAAGATATAAAGAATTCTTATGACACCATTAATGCAATACTGGGTTATTGTGAAAACCTTGGCTATAATAAATACTTGTATGTCCCCGTTACTTAAAGAAACATGGATCATTTTATGTCCCCACCCCTACATGCTGGTTTACCTCTTTCTCTGCTTCTTTCAGATAAGGCTTAATAAACAACCTGTATCCAATCATATCTTATCTTATTTAAAAAGAATAATAAACAGTTCCATTTAAACAGATAAAAATGACCGTTCCATTTAATTTGTATTCATTTTATCCAAAATTTACAACATAAGCACAAATTCAAGATTGTTCATACTAATCGCCATTCCATGCTTTAGTATATGCCATATGGTGGTTCAAAATTTCAGAGCTTGTTATAAAATCCATTATTCTGTCTTGAGATGATAAAACAAAGATATTAGACACTTAAAACATTAAATATGCAAAATACTCAGCTGTGAAGTTGCGTTTGTTGCCTGTATTAATCTATGAAAAAGCTGAATTATGTCCCTTGAGAGTATTAATTTCCCACAAAAGTCCTTTCAAACAGTAGAAAATGAAAGATTATATATGCCTGATATAATAAAAGATAGAAACTACAAAATGAAGCACTATTGAAATATTTGCTGCATGAATTGCCAAGATTGTGAACAATTCTTTACACAGGAGAGTATAAATTCTATCTAAATTTAGCCTCAAGTGGGCCTCTTTTTTTCTTAGATGGACAATTATAACACTGAAAATGCTTCTAGTATGACCAAATATTGTCTTACTCCATAAACAGTACAAACTTAACCAGACAATTTCCCATTTTAATAGATTATGTCTAGAGAAATACCCAAGTGATACATTTAGGGAATTACACAGCAAAAAAAGGCAAATATTTCAGTTAAAAATATTTGTCGCGACTTGAATTCTGGTGTTTCCAATTGAATTAATCATTGCGAAAGGTGAAAACAAATACAAAAGAACTATAGTTTGGTGCATTTTATACAATATAGTTAATATTGAAATCCTAGAATAAAGTTTTATATCAGTACCCATCAATTTGACTTATTATGATGACTCAGCACTTTTCTCAACACAGTATTGTTCTCAGGGAAAAATTTCTATTCTTTGTGATAAAAATCAAATGTTCTAATCAAAAGCTTCAAAATAGTATAATATAACTGAAGTCTGATTGATTTTGAATTCCATTGCTATCTTCAGTATATATACTGTGACATAAAGATATAAAGAATTCTTATGACACCATTAATGCAATACTGGGTTATTGTGAAAACCTTGGCTATAATAAATACTTGTATGTCCCCGTTACTTAAAGAAACATGGATCATTTTATGTCCCCACCCCTACATGCTGGTTTACCTCTTTCTCTGCTTCTTTCAGATAAGGCTTAATAAACAACCTGTATCCAATCATATCTTATCTTATTTAAAAAGAATAATAAACAGTTCCATTTAAACAGATAAAAATGACCGTTCCATTTAATTTGTATTCATTTTATCCAAAATTTACAACATAAGCACAAATTCAAGATTGTTCATACTAATCGCCATTCCATGCTTTAGTATATGCCATATGGTGGTTCAAAATTTCAGAGCTTGTTATAAAATCCATTATTCTGTCTTGAGATGATAAAACAAAGATATTAGACACTTAAAACATTAAATATGCAAAATACTCAGCTGTGAAGTTGCGTTTGTTGCCTGTATTAATCTATGAAAAAGCTGAATTATGTCCCTTGAGAGTATTAATTTCCCACAAAAGTCCTTTCAAACAGTAGAAAATGAAAGATTACATATGCCTGATATAATAAAAGATAGAAACTACAAAATGAAGCACTATTGAAATATTTGCTGCATGAATTGCCAAGATTGTGAACAATTCTTTACACAGGAGAGTATAAATTCTATCTAAATTTAGCCTCAAGTGGGCCTCTTTTTTTCTTAGATGGACAATTATAACACTGAAAATGCTTCTAGTATGAACAAATATTGTCTTACTCCATAAACAGTACAAACTTAACCAGACAATTTCCCATTTTAATAGATTATGTCTAGAGAAATACCCAAGTGATACATTTAGGGAATTACACAGCAAAAAAAGGCAAATATTTCAGTTAGAAATATTTGTCGCGACTTGAATTCTGGTGTTTCCAATTGAATTAATCATTGCGAAAGGTGAAAACAAATACAAAAGAACTATAGTTTGGTGCATTTTATACAATATAGTTAATATTGAAATCCTAGAATAAAGTTTTATATCAGTACCCATCAATTTGACTTATTATGATGACTCAGCACTTTTCTCAACACAGTATTGTTCTCAGGGAAAAATTTCTATTCTTTGTGATAAAAATCAAATGTTCTAATCAAAAGCTTCAAAATAGTATAATATAACTGAAGTCTGATTGATTTTGAATTCCCTTGCTATCTTCAGTATACTGTGACATAAAGATATAAAGAATTCTTATGACACCATTAATGCAATACTGGGTTATTGTGAAAACCTTGTCTATAATAAATACTTGTATGTCCCCATTACTTAAAGAAACATGGATCATTTTATGTCCCCACCCCTACATGCTGGTTTACCTCTTTCTCTGCTTCTTTCAGATAAGGCTTAATAAACAACCTGTATCCAATCATATCTTATCTTATTTAAAAAGAATAATAAACAGTTCCATTTAAACAGATAAAAATGACGGTTCCATTTAATTTGTATTCATTTTATCCAAAATTTACAACATAAGCACAAATTCAAGATTGTTCATACTAATCGCCATTCCATGCTTTAGTATATGCCATATGGTGGTTCAAAATTTCAGAGCTTGTTATAAAATCCATTATTCTGTCTTGAGATGATAAAACAAAGATATATTGTATTAGACACTTAAAACATTAAATATGCAAAATACTCAGCTGTGAAGTTG